TCTTGTAATGCTTGCAAGGGCACTATTTTATTTTAATTTTTTCACCTTTTACTGTCCTTTACTGATTATTTTTGTGGTTTTAAATTTTTTTTAGTTCTCTTGTAATTTTAGGTGACTGCCATTGTTGAATTTGATTGGATTTTTTATTTTATTTTTTTTGAACATTTTATACAATTCATTTTCTTTGGTTGGGTTTTCTCCTTGGATTTTCTTCTATTATTTTACCTTTTGCAGTCCTTTTAAATTATTTTTTATGGGTTTTTCTTTTTAAAATTTGGGTTGAAATTTTGAGACAATTCAAGTGAGTTCTGTGAAAAAAAATGTTACATTCATTGATTTTTCCATTCCGTTTATAGGATTAATGTCTCTTTTTTCAGAGTTCGTTTTTCTTTAGCGTCAATTGGTTCAGTTTTAGACGTGTTTGCTTGAAATCTGAATATTCGCCTACTCTTTTACAATCCTTTTGTCTTTTTTTTTTTTTACTTTTGGCAAGGGACTATTAAGGAATGGATTCACGGATTTCTCAATACTACGCTGTGAAAAGTTGGTTGCAACTTTATTAATTAATATAGAATCTAATATTTTTCATTTGTATGTTTTAAATTGTTGGTGAATATTTGTGGTTGCTATTTTGGGTTCTTGCGGTCGGCCTCTTTTGTTTGGTGTATGATAATCATCCTGTTAATTGTAGTTAATATGACTGGAAATTCGTATTTTGTTTCTCGATTTCGGTTGTTCATCTGAAAAATGGAAGTAATTCTTAATATCATATAATTTAAGAAAATAGGTTGTTTTCTTTCGTTTCTGCGATCTATTGCAATATTGATTTTGCGTTTCTTTTTGTTTGAAATATAGTTTGCCCATCTAAAGTGCATTCAGAGATGATGCAACAAAAAGGGTGGTATAACCTGTGAAATATGCAATCAGGTTGGGATTTTACTCTCAATTTTCGGGCAGAATTTATGACCTTCTCATAACAGAGGAAATATGAAACCAATGCCTTCTTTAACAGGTTTTCTCACCCAATTATATGGTTCCAACTCCAAGAAGTAATGCTGATGTTATGACTATTGATATCAGGTATATCCTGGAGCGCATCTTATGGAAATTTTTGCTCTTGAATGTCTAGTATTCAGCATGGCATTTCCGAGAGAGAGATCCACAAATCGGAATGCTTTTAAGGAAATTATGGAACTTGATGAGATACAGAGCACTTCAAATTTTATGCATTTTCAAAGTTTTGTTAAGTTTATTTGGTTTGCAATCATTGAAGTGAATTTCTAAATCAAATTTTTTAAATCAATTCTACACAGTATCTCGTGTTTTGCTTCTTGACTTTATTGGTATGTTTAGTAGGGAGAATTTGATAGTACCAATAAAACAAAAAGCAGCTAGAACCGTGTTCACTATATCGTCTAGACCTATATACCAGTGCATACCACAGATTTTTGCTTTTTTGGTGAATTTTTGAGATACATAACATCTCTTTCCTTACCTCAGGCAAGCATTGGCTCAACATATTGGTCTTCGGGATCCTCATTTCTTGACTTTCACGACAGTTGATAGTCAGTTTCTGCAATCAGACTATGAGGACTGTACCTTTGCAAGGGGAACTCTTGCATGTTTTCATTCTGTGGTTATCATTGTGCGCAAACATGAGTGAATTTTGATGTATATTTTTGTAATCTTTTGCGCAAATATGTGAAATGTGGGGTTTCCTTATTTGCAGCTGATGCTACTCTTGCTGATACGCCAAACTTTAATGGTCACAAGAGACATTGGGATGGTGCAGGCATCATCAGATTTCATCCATGTAAGTTCAATTTTATATTTCTTTATGTTTTTGAGATATGAACATGTTAGTGACTTAGTTTACAATCACTTACTGGAATTTGAATTCCTATTGGACTCGGATATCATTTTAACAATAGATTTTCCTGTTCTATTTTTGGTTTTGTCAAAAAGGTATTCACGTACAACTTTTTTTCCTTCCTTTGTGGCAGTTTCTCATTTTTTTTTTTTTTTGCAAATATTTCAGTATCAGATATCTGTTCTTCAGTTGGCTGGAATTCTTATCTCTTGCTATGTGGCGGTCCGTTCATGGTACATTATACAATTCCGGCGGAGAAGACAGGTTTGTTAATTTATGTCCTTCACCTTCTCTGCTTTGTGTTTGTAAGATATAGATTCTGGTTTCAATAATAAACTGTAAAGTAGACTAATCCTGAAATTAAAACCATTCGAAAGACGGATATAATGTTTCAATCAAAAGCATTCCAATCGACAAATATTTTAATCGCCATTTTTATGTAGTTTTCTATTTAAGGAATCTTCATATATAGCCGGGAATTATTAAACTGCATTGAATAGTGTGTCTACTGTCACACAATCGACGTACACATCTATTATTAAAATGCATTGAATTGTGTGTCTACTGCATTGAACGAGGTTAACTTTTTAAACTAAATCTTGTGTGACAAAAAAATCTGTTATGATATGAAAAAAATTTTAATTTCAACCCACCTAACATATCTTCCTGGTTCCACCCCGGCCCTCTGTCATGTACAACGTAATTTATAGATATAATAATTGTCCTCCAATCCGAGTCGGACTTTGAAATATTTACAAATTTTCTGGAAAATGTGATTGGTCATGAACATATGAATACTTATAAGTAATCCTGGAGATACGAGGGCTTATAGAGATAGCCTATGAAATATAAGTTGTTCTAATAAGTGAAGGCTTACGGTGAATCAGGTCAAAATACAAGAACATGTTGTTGAGCTCGTTTGAGTCTCATTATAAAGAGAAATTTTGGTAAAATATATTATGGAATAGTATTTTCTAGGAGAATATGTGATTAAAAAAACTTTGATTTTAGTGTAGAATATTTTATTGTGTAAATATGTTGTGGAGAATGATATTGTAGTAAACAATTTAAAATTTTAAAGGGTGTCAAACGGGGGCTTAATTTAATCGACCCTATCCAAGTAACATAATTGATAGTTAGTCAATGTGGAACCTCCTCTATCACGTGCACGTCACGTAATTTATAGATATAACAAGAACCATAATTTACGGAATGCATTTCAGAAATAAATTTCAGTAGACTGATGCAATATTAAGAGGTCAAGAAAATTTGGATATAAGGCTTCACACCTCTCGTAGGGAGTCCCTTTTCATTACAGCAATGCTACCTGACCATTTGTCCTCGTCATGGAGGTTACCTATTATGTCAAACAGAAGTTGTCAATCGAAGTTTGGTCAATCTTTTGAGTAGTT